ACAAAGAAAATACTTCTCGCGTTCGCAAAATCTATAGTAAGAAAAGTTTTGTCATATTGGAATAATATTAGATTTGCAGATAGTCAAAATTTAATATATTTGGGTCCGATAGATGAATCAATAGTAGTAAAATCCGAAATCAGAACTCAATTAAAAAATAGCCTAATGTTATGGAGGGATAGAGAAAAAATGGTCTGGGGATGTTTCACTGCCTTTCAAGATAACGATCCTAAACATACAGCCCTAAATATTTGTTGTGATTATTATAAAAACATCCTAAACTTAGCGGAACTCCTAAATATTCTTCAAACTTAAATCCTATCAAACATGCAAAAACTGAGTTGAAGAAAAGAATAAGAAAACATGATATTTCTCCGAAAATTCTACTAAATGCAATTCTTACGTAGTAATGGAACAAAGGAAACATTCTTACCTAAAAAAATTAGTTCGTTCATGTAATTTTAGCTAAAGGATGTCCAATGAAATATTGAATGTCCTGTTGTTATCTTTTAAATCACTTCACTAATAAAATTTAAAAACATTCCTTAGTCTTTGGTTATAATATACAGTACACATATGTTTTTAATTTACGTATAAATGTTTTTTTTATACATTTCATCTTGTTTACAGTCATTTTGAATATATGACTTAAATTTTTAAGTTTATATCACAGAACTTAAAAGTGGAAGAAAATACATACACAAATCTCATTGCTGTTCATTCGATTCATTTATTGCTTTGCATGTCTTTTAAAACCTCAGTGACTTCAGAAAATTTATTAGGGGGTTAATTGATTAAATCATAATAATAATTGCAATTAAGAACAGAAAATTTAATAATCGACAACTGCAATTTTTTATTTTTAAATTTTCAAATAGTTCTCATTTTCGTGTTCTTTTATTTTTTGCAATTTATTCCCGTACTGGTACTATATTCATAAATTTTTGTTTCAGTAAACTTACTTTTGTGTTTAATGCTTCCTTATATAAAATTATACAATATTATTTATGCAAATTTATGCATTTTTACTTCCTTGTACGAAGTAAAGGAAGTATTATAGTTGCGAAAAATTTCGGTTTCCAGAATTTAACGGAAACATCCATTTTGAAAGTTTCCGAATTCATTTTGACTATTTTTTGCGTATCTTCTGTACGTACGGACAGACTAAAGATCTTCTTACTCCAAAACAGGTCGTAAAATGGATTTTTTATATGGCTTCTATACACGGATATGTACGTATGTATCTGGCATAACTCAAAAATAATTACCGGTAGAATGTTGAAATTTTGTATATGGGACTGCTATAATATCTAGCTGTGAAAAACTCTTTTTTATTACAATCGCCAGGACTGAAAAGTATACGATATATGTAACCACCCCATTACCCAGCTTTTATTTTCGCAATCGATTGTCATAAAGATATACTCCTAATTGCAAAAATGTTTTAAATGAACATTTTGGGAACGTTTTATACCCGTTATGAAAAAATATAAATACAAGATGTTTCACTCGCGTATGACAAAAATTGAGTGAGATATTTAATCTTAAAATTTTCAACTTGCCTTGAGCAGTTATTTAATTAAGTTAGAATAATTCGAGGGAATAAGTTTAAATGAGCTGCAGAAAAAAATGTGTATAATTTAATAGGTATACAAGGACATCATATGGTGTCCACATCAGATTTTTTTATTACATAAGTAGGAAAACCAAATTTTATCACGTGTTATCGCGTCTTAGAGCTAATTGACAATTAATATCTTATTTTATAACTATTAACTATCGTAAAATTAAAATTTATTCTATTAGACATTTTTCAACTATTGTCATATGCTTTATAAACGAATTTAAAGAAAGGGAAAAAAATGAAAATTTTCAGATTTTATATTACGCCCAAATTGGAGCTTTTTCAACGTTTTGTATGTTACCTTTATTTATTAAATATTCATGTTCTTTGCACTTAAACCACATAAAATTCAATTCAACAGCAATACCACAAAATATTAAAAAAAACAGCATATCTTTAGAATTTGCGACAGACAGTCCCGCGCTGGAGGTAAAAATATGTTTTTCCGTACAGTGTTGCAACTACTCGCTTTGAAATCATTGAGTTTGTTAACCAGAAATCAGCTAAAGTTTTAAAAAATGTGAAATAGATAATAAAACAAATTCGAAATTCAAAATTCGGGCTTCCAGGTGGCTAAGTTCGGGTGGAGAATTACGTTATTCAAAATGTGATGACTCTAGGTACCGTCGCGTTTTTACAATGCTAGAAACATACGTACATTCCTGCAGATTGTTCATTATTTAATTTTTTTTTTAAATATAATACAGGGCGATAATATTTGGTGGGAACAATTTAAAAAAGAATTCGCCTTTTATGGTAAAATGCACAAAAATGCCGTTTTGAAACTAATAGGCCTTCTAGGCTACCGCCTCTTTGGGCTAAAAAGTCCTATAAGATCCATATTTTAATGGCTACTCAAAAAGAGCTCATGGTTTTTCAGCAAAGTGCCCAAATAGAATAGCGTAACATTTTATTGGGTACTAGAAATATAGACTTTCAGAGTAACATGGGAATGTTCAACATTTCCTGTCTACTTGAAAATGAAAAAAATTGAACGCTATTCTATAAAAACATTCAATGTTTTGAAATGGATTATTGGTGAATTAAATGCATTTTTATTCTAGTGAACCCGATTAAAAAATGAAAAAAAATAGTGTTCTTAAGAACGGCATTGATTACTTTATAACAGACAAATATCTTTCATTCTGGTGAAAAACAACAGATTCGAATGAAAAGTGAAACAACGTGTTGACAGTGGACGACAGTGAAAGTGAATCAATCCAAAATCGAGACAAATATCCCTTTAAAGCTACTAATATTTCATGAATAAAAGTTCTTAAAAAATTAATCTTAAGGTAATTAAGGTAATTATCATAATTTTTTTAGAAAACGAATCAACCTGCTGTCACTTTTATGTCTGTAAAAAGGCCATCACTTATTTTGCACTTATAATTTCGCTTTAATAATTTTATTAATATTTTATAAATTTTCAACTTGCAACAAACTTTCCTTCAGTTTAAAACGGAGTTTTGTGAAAACGTTCTATAGGATTCTATTAAAAAAAAAATCCAATGTCAAATTTTTTTAAGAGTCCTTTAGAAAATTATACCGCAGTTTTCTATAAACTAGGTCCTTCTATAAAAATATAAAAACGTCTTCAAGAATATAGCAAGTTTTCAGAGCATTCGCATTTATTTATATATATATATGTATATATTTCATAATTCATTTTCCATAATTATTATTGAGGTAGCGGCCGTCGTTTACCGTCCTCTTTAGCATCGTCTTTCTTGCCCTCGAGGTCTTAAGTGTATTCCTTCTCGGAAGGGGAGAATCCCTAGGATTTTAAAGATCTTTTTTGCGAAGATTCGATGCAAGGGAAAAATCAGGGAGATTTATAGTTCTTGAGGATATCTTTTTATTTATCTGTCTATTAATATAAAAAACTATGTTTATTCAAGTTATGGTATTTGTCACATTTCTGCACTTTTTGTTTTTAATTTACAAGCATGTTTGAAACTCATCTAAATCTAGCACCTCTATATTTAATTTTTGAGTTGGGAAAAGTAAAGTTGGCCGGAGGGAGAAAAGCCTTCTAGCATGGTGAAGGGATGCTAGAGCAAAAAGGTTTGAGATTCCCTATTCTGTAACATCGGCGCCAATTTTTAAGTCCTCACTAGACTCTAACATGTCTAAATCCTAATCTTGAAATCCCCATAGATTTATAGAAAATTTTTCCTCAATTCTACGACTCTAAAAATTCCAGCTTTAAGGGGCTATAGAAGTTCCAGAAGGGGGGAACGATTAACAACAACTCTACAATAACAAATTTTCTTTTGAAATTAGAAAGAACGAATTGAATTTTCATTTTCAAACTGAGGTTTTCATTTTAAACTGAGATTTTGAAACGATCTATGAAAACAGGAGAGGGGGGATAAAACTGTTTGGAAAGAGTATTTTATTCATAAAAAATTAATATATTTTTTTAAAAAATAATAAATTTATAAAATACATTTTAAATATTACTCAAGTTTAAATAAATTTTTAAAAAAATTATTTGTCTTATCAAGGCTAGAAATAGAATAATTAAAAGCATTCATTTCAGGAATTAAAATTTTATAATTAATTACATAAATGTAATCGTTTAACGAATTTTTGATTTAAATTGCTTTTATGCTTTTAGAAGATTTTATTTTGCATTATAAAAGTTATACTGGAAAAACAGTTGCAGAAAATGTTTCATAAATTTGAACCCTAGCTTTAATTTAGAGGGAAAAGGGTTAAAATTTCCATTTGAAAATAATTCAACAATTATGGATAAAAACTGCTTTTAATTTTGCTTTTCTGTATTTCATATCTCTTTAGAAACTGAAAATTTACTTTGATTGCGATTTAAAAACTTCTACAGAATAACATTCTATAAAAACTTTATAAAATTTCTTCACAGTTATGCACAATAATTTATGTTCTGTAAAAATTTTATAAATTCTCTATAAAACATCTATACATAACTCTATGGAGGCAATATTTAAAAGTTTATGGAATTCTGAAGACGATGTTTGTAGAGAGTCTGCCCACACTTCTAAAGAAGTTTAACATTGAATTTTTTTACAGAAATTCTGTAAAACATTTTCGTAACAGTTGACATGAGCTTCACACAGTATTTACCAATCGATTTTAGCTCGTACAATAATCGCAAAAGAATAAATAAACGTATACACTTAAAACTGGAATCAAGATTTAGTAAGTGCCAGGGAAATCATCAAATTATTCTGAAATTATTTTTGGAACTACCATGCAGATTACACATTATTCGTAACGCTTGTTGTATGTCTATTGTTTAAGTGAGAGGTAATCGAAAAAGAATTCAAAAGACAAAACAGCGGCTTTTAAACCACGTCGGAAAAACATAAATGATTGAAAGTTTTAAACTTACCAAATAATCATCTATCCTCCTTTCATACTGGTATCCCCTTTGCACTTTGGTAGCATTGAGCGCGTGAGTAATGTGGAGGGCACTAGCATCAAATCGTCCGGCCATGTGATCCCGGTTCCTAATATCCGGTTCGTGTGTCCGGGGTGAAGAAAGTGCACTCTTAATGCCTAAGGCATCGGCGTCGAACGTTCCTTTGCCGAAGCCTCGTATTTGATCGTTCACGAGGTGATTCGTTTTCGGGACACTCAAGGCGGCTTTGATGCCTACAGACATACCATCCAAGTGACCCGGTCCCGTTTTCGGCATGTGGCTTTGACAATAAACCTCTTTGTCATCCTGGTCTTGTTGGTTGTTGTAGTAGGTTCGAAGGGTGAGTTTGGTGCCACAGACCAAACACTTGAAGCAGCCCTGATGAAAAAAGGTAAAATCCTTCAAAGGTCCCACTTTGTCCACCTGGTACACAGTCTGGCCACATCTCAGGCAACTGTTCTCGTAGCGGTTCATGGTGAGGTAATCTCTAGATGGAATTTCACTTAAGAGCACCATTCATAATTCGTTGGGATACGAAAGTTATTAGTAATATATGCTTGCTGTCAGAACTTTTAATTATATATCCGAATTATCCGATACCTGAGGGCTAGAGCGCACGCGTGTCCAGTTCGCAGAAATTATTTTAAGCGAAAGGTAATTCCAGAACAATTGTAAGTCATTCCAAACAGGAAATAAAAGAAATAAAAGTGAAGATGCGAGGGAGGAAAGCAAATGTACCTTGAAGACAATTCTGTCAAATCAATAATCAACAACGGTCATTTCCTTCTGTTTCGTGTCTTCTGAATTCCTTGAATCGCAAAATTCGAATTTCGATGGTCAGTTGTGCGGAATAATTTCTTCGTCCCGTGTCCAGAGGGCTCTTTTTCATTGCATCGCAAATGAGAGTCCCGAGGTTTAATTTTCGGCGCAGGAGAGAAGACGCTCGACTCGAGAGGTAAGTGTTGGGCGGAATACAGCCATTATGGCCGACAGCTTGACTGGAGTGTGGGACGTTCGCTGAAGCGTATCATGCTTTGGTTGGAGTTTGAAACTAGTTGGCCGAGCCCAAGGCCTTTTCCCACATCCCACTTACCTTGGGGTGGGTGGGAGAACACGCGCGCCACCTGGGCGCAGGTACGTGGTTGGAGACTTCGGTGCGGTTTTGCAGAAAAGAGTCGAAAGATTCGCGGCGTTAATTACGCATTTGTAAAATTGCGTAACAAAATAATTGTGCATTGTTTTAGAAAATAGTTTTGTCCATTTGAAAATGACGAAGCTTATTTATATGCTGTGTTCTCCTGCATTGTCATAAAAAAACTCGACATCTTCCGGTAATTGGGTGTTTTTTTTTTTTTTTTATGCGAGTACAAAATAGAAACCGGGAAAGAAATTACAAAAAATATTTATTAAAATTTTGGGTTTTAATGAAAAAATTGTTAACTGAAGAACTCTGCGAATTATATCCAATTAGTGAGATCGCGATTCTGTAACGAATCGAACAAACGAACGCGTGAAACTCTGAGAAGATGCTGATGTCACTGCTAACAACGACAATAATAACTGAAGTAACTGTAAATGATAACTAAAATAGGCATCTCGTACCTCAAAGCTCATTTATCTCATATTGTCTGAAAACTAATATTTAAACAGTTCGTAGAAATCATAAAATTAGGTCATATTAATAAAACTTATAATGCCCATGGATTGTATCAGTGGAATCTTAAAATTCACAATTTTAAATACATAAAAATAACATCTTGCCTCTTTTCCAAAACAAAAGTTTTAAAATTTAGGAGTCCGTTTTAAATTGCTTTACAGACCTTTGTCATCCCAGCTTCGAAACAAAGAATAATTAAATTAAGCATTTTGATATTTCCCAATCTTTTCAAATACCGAATTAGTATTTTTCTGCGTTAGCAATTCGTGTAAACTCTGGGAATAAGCATGCCAGAACAGGAAAGTCAACCAACAATTTGGAGCGTTTTAATTCAAGCAGTAGCAGTTTTTACAGGTGAAGATATTCGGAACAAATCTGAATATCTTCATCAATATATATCCTAAATATAAATAGTATAGAAAATAAAAAAACGTATGGCACACTTAACTTCTTTCAGCATGATTAGTTGACTGCGTCCACGGCACATATATTTTTTCCCGCTTTTTCTAATATAAGATTGTCTGACAACATTTTTTTTTTTTTTTCTTTTGAAAAAATTTTGTCGTTCATTGAATGACTCGTGAACACCAGGGTATTCCCAAACTTTTTCTTGCATCGACCCCTGTTAAAGGAATGATTTTCTTCATCGACCTCCTTATTTCTCTATAATATACAATATACAATACGTAATCACAATGTAAAGAATTGCACATGAATAACTAGATATTTCTAATAACTAAAATTTCAGAGATAACAATTTGATTAAGAATAAGAAGAAAAGTTTGGGGAAAAAATAATTTTTGAGATATATGTTTAATAATTCTTGTAATACTATTATTTTTTTTTTATTTTACAAACATAAACAAATATCACAGATTCTAATTGCACCAAAGTTCGATTTTTATGAATAGAATAGCTGTACATGATGCATTAATACAATTTTTGATTTTAATATTTGAATATAAAATTGCTTAATTTAATTTTTAAATCACCTTGCACAGAGGTACTATTGGTCCCAACCTCACATTTTTATCCGTGTCACTTTTCAAATCCAAGGACGTTGCCACCAAATGTTATAGCTATGTATTATTTTTTTAAGCAATAAGAGTAAATATTTTTTTAAATGTATCACAATACTCAACATTTCATCGGGATTTCCAAAGTAGACTGTTTTCAAGTATTTTGTGATTTTGCGTTGAATTTAAGTATCGAAGCTTTAAAAAACTATGTTTAGTAAAAGTTAAAAAGACCAAAAAAAAAAAAGTTGTGTAAGCCATCTTACTAAAAACACTGAACATCGATAGGATAAACTGTGAAAAGATTGAAAAAACAGAAAAAATGTATGCAATACAAATGTATGCCCTATCAGAAATTCTAAAAATGCACTGTTTTTAGAAAATTTGTAATTTTACTGTTGAATATTATGAGAAGTAAGTGCAAGGAAAGGCATGTTTAGTAATAAATTAAAAAGAAAAAAAAAACTGTGTTAGCTTGAGTGATGCCAAGAACAGATTTATCAACTACGAGCTTAGTGAGAACATAAAAAAAATACCTTCTAGTGCGACATTAAAATCTGAATCTTTTCAGATTTTTTCCCCCTAAAAGCTTAAATGTTTGTCATTCAAGATTCAAAAATAGTATCAATAGAAAATGAATGATTCCCACCTCGTTTCCTCGAAAACATAAAGTAAAACATAAAGTAATTCATAATCAATTACTAAATAAATAATTTATTAATAGTTTCTCTTCATTTTTCTCCCATCCAATTCATTTCACTTTTGAATATTTGCTCATAAGCATTTATTTCCTTTTTAATACATTTCTTTGGTTTGAGCCGCGCATATGCGCTTACATCCATTACCTATAGTATATAAAACTTTATATCCGAATCAAGAAAATCGATAACAGTTGTATTTATCTCGAAGAAGGAATTGTGAAAATTATACTATGTCCTTGCTGCGATTCGAACTCCAGACCTCCCGCTGCTAGTCAGATTTGCTTCCAGTTATATTACGAAGTCACGCGGTAAGGAGAGAAAAACATTCCTTGCATTCTCCCCCACTTAAACTCTCTCTCACAGGGAAAGAGGAGAACCAGTCGCCACGTCGTGGTGGTGAAGACTTATTTTTCACCACATTTTTGTTCCGTTGTCTCATATAAAAGAATTTAGAATATTGTTTTAAGCTAGGAAACGTGAAAAATAAGCAAAGCCCTCGCCCAGATCCTAACTTCAGAGTGCTTCCAGTTACACCTCGAAGGCACGCGATAAGTAAGAAGAAAATGCTTTGAACCTTAAGTGCAAATACCCTTATTAACATACGATTTAGAAATTTGCGTTTTTAATTTTTACATAATCCGATCCGATAAGTACGTGAGCAGTTGGAGAAGTTTTTCAGTTGCTCATCTACCATTTGTTTTGTATCACCCTCTAATGTATTATGAAGATTGTTTAGTCCAAAGGGGCTTTGTCCCTGAAGGACTATTGTTTTCGTTTTTGCGATTTTGCGTTGGTTCGCTATAAATGTCCGTTTCACTTTTCAAACTGCTGCCACCAAATGTTAGAGTCTTGCATTATATTTGAAGAAACTAAATAATGGAAAATCTGCATAAATGTACATATATTTCTAGCATCGTGATAAAACAACGGTACCTAGAGCCGTCCAATTTTGAATGACGTAATCCTACTGCAAATATGGGCATCTGATAGCCCAAATTTGAAATATGGAATTTGTTTTATGATCGATTTTCGTACTTTGTAAAACTTTAACGAACTTTTGATTAACAAACTCAACAATTTAAAAGCGAGCAATGGCAATACTCAACACTCTAAAGGAAAAAAGAAACATTTTTATCTCCAACGCGTGAGACTGTATATCGGAAATCCTAAAGATATGCTCATTTAAAAATTATTTTGCTGTATTGCTGTTGAAATGTATTTTATGGTTTAAGTGCAAGAACATGATATTTAATAAATAAAGGTAACACACAAGAACGTTAAATAAATGCCCCTTTGCCCTTTGGACGTAATTTAAAGTCTGAAACCTTTGAGATTTTTTTATATTTGTACGCAGGGGAGCGAACGACATAAACGGAAAATTATGAGAAGAGGAAGATGTAGGATGTTTTTATCATTTATTTTAGTCTTCTTTTGCCTTTAGAGTTTACTTCCCCCCCCCGTACTTAATAGAAAATTAGTAATTTTAAAGTTGACTAAATATATGTGCGTTGAATCTTCCTTAAATATATAATGGAGACTCAGAACATCCGTATTTTAGAAATAATTAAATATCTTAAAAAGATATTTGAGAAGTAATTTTTCATTCGAGTAATGGCGTATGATAGATAGACGTATGTACTACTTCTGATCTCATTCTAAATTTAGTCATGCATTCACTTCGGTTCCTTTCTATTCCTATCATGGTATTTTATTTATTCAAATGGCAACATTAATTGCCTTATGATATCAGGAAGAGGAAAAAGAATTTTTATCTGTTATCAAGCAAAGCAGATTTGTAACAACCTTATATTAAACAGACAAGAAAAAATAAACTGAAATTTCCTTTACGACATCAGGGAACTTGCATTACAGCTAATATCATATCGGAAAAGTCTTCCGGTTTTTAATTTTTAGCCTATACAGAGGAAAATGTTTTTTTTACCAATAAATCAAATTTATTGAATTAACGAAACTTAAAATTGTACAAATTCCATTCCCCCACATTTAATGATTTCCAGAATAATTTTTCGTATTAAATTTATCTCCTCTGAGTTGTTTTTTTTAATGACATTTTATTGAATTTCTTTAATCTGAGTTGTATTAATCTACTGTTGATATCTATAGACTTTTATATGAAGATTCCAGCAGTGTTTAATCAGCCCATGTTTGTATTTAATTTTGTTTACTTCAGTAAATAGAGTATTACTACATTTATGCGCATAAATACTATGTAGTACATTAATTTATTAACATTAAAACTGATTTTGGTCATGTAGCTGACCAAAATCAGTTTTGATGCAAGTTTTGATAAATCAGAATAAAAATATATTCTGTGCCGGTGTTTTCAATTCGAAAACAATTAAACTTCTTAACTTCATAAAATAAACGTGTTAGATAATAAATAACGCAATGAGTCAAAAATGTTGCAACGTATGAAATACCATGCACTGTAACAATTACAAAGAATTTTAAATTCAGATGAAATTCGGTCTAAAATCGGTATTGACTTGAAAAAGTAAAAATATCTGATATAGACACCACATGACTTCCTTGCATGGCCTATTAAATTTATACATTTTTTTCTGCATTTTACTTTAACTTACTTCCTCGAATTTCATTAGAAATATAATTCTCATTCGGTTATTTCAGTTCTCACTT